CTCCTTTTTACCGCCATTTTGAGCCTTCGGAAACGTTCGGAACAGCTTCTGATCAAGTTCGCAATACTATGACAGGTAAGGTTGACGCATGCGCAGACGTTTTTCCGCGGTGTTGATTGGATGACGACCTGATGACGACTCACTTTAAGGCCGTTTTCCACTAGGCGAATTTGTTCGCGCGACGCGAAGCGAAAACCGAAATCCGGCAACGTGATTGGTCGGCGAAAAAATTCGCGGCGAAAAAGTAGGATCGCTTCCTACTTTTTATCTGTTCGCGCGAAAAAATTCGCCTAGTGGAAAACGGCCTTTAAACTTGCTGAGCACGCGCAGTTGATCATTTTTCGCCCGGTCGCCTGAAAAAAAGTGGGTACATGATAACGTAATCTTCCGCAGTGTTTACAACGGTCAGTTACGTCTCTGTATGTCTTATCTACTCTGTGATCCAATCAAGCAATCGGATGCAACTGCCAGATCAATTCCTTGCTGATATATATGTTATTTACCGGCTGCGAGGTCCGGATGAGAAAAACTGTGCCCGAGGTCTTGAAAACGGCCCGAGCCCGAAGGGCGAAGGATGTTTTCAAGACCGAAGGCACAGTTTTTCTCATCCGGATCGACGCTGCCGGTAAATAACGTGTTTATTTTTTATCAGATGTAAAAATTAAATTCATTAAAATTCCGGTGTTGCTTGCGAACTAATAGAGATCAGTGCAGTTGTGTATTTTGAAAGCGAGGCTGACAAAAATTGAAAAGTTGAAAGATATAAAATAAAACACGAATACGAAAACTCGTGAAAATTGGCAAGAAACACACAAAAAGACGTATAGTTTCAGTAAAAATGTACATGCTTTTTTCATAAATATGATAGCAGGGAAGCTTTGGAATAAAAACTTTTATGCCTGCCGTTTTGGCTTTGGCTTTGACAAAATCAGTTGCTCCTGAGTCCTGACAACGACAGGTTCATGTTCATGTTCAGTACCGATCAAAAACATATAAAAATGAATCTGTTTTGATTTAATCATCGTTTTTCTACTAAAAGGACAATGAAAAAGGTATGTTGTTTTTATATTTTTGTATTTTTTCTTCTCGTCTCAGGATAATATGCTTGAAAAAAGTGCTTTTAAACACAAACTTTTACTTTGTTTACAATAATTATATCAGTGAAAAATGCATGACACAAATGGGTAGAGAATATATTCGTGACTTGTTTTTACTGCTGCAGTTAAACCTTCTTTTAAATGGGAAAACATTTATTTTACAATTTCTGTTTAAATTAAGCTGTAATTTTTTCGCTTTTAAGTGGCCGAATACATGAGCATTTAAAAAATATATAGTTTTCGCGACGTAAGTTTTATTCATGACAAATATAAACTTTCCGACTTTCAGTCACATTTCTATCAAAATATTGTCAATTCTGGTGAACATCGTGCTTAGTATGAAGTCTTTAGGGCTTGATGCAATTCATTTATGTATTCTGACTATCATTAGGCTATGTTTTCAAACGTTTTTGGCAGATTTTTTCGTTTAAAAATTGTTTCACTCCTCGGTTTTTGGCGCGAAATCCAGAGCGGGCAGTTGCATTTCACAGCGGGCAGTTGCGTTTCAGAGCGGGCCGGATGCAAAAAACCGGCCCGCTCTGAAAGGCTCTCAGCCAATCAGATTGCTTCATTTTCACTGATAAAAAATAAATATTATTATAACTTGTATAATCAAAAACTACAGTAACTATATATTCATTTATGATATTGAAAATTGATATATAATATAATGAGAATAATTTTAAAAAAATATTCATAACATCAAATGATTCATGCATGCTGGTGATTGAATAAACCATATGGAGTGTTCATTCTGAATCGATCTCTACAAATTCCTTGACATTATTTTTCCAGTACAGTGTAAAACTATACAGATATTAGGCTGCATGTCCACCAGTGTGCTGAAATACCATCCAGTGACCCGGTCTTGTTCATTGTTACTTGCATCTTGCTTAATTCAACTGTTTTTGCCCCATTTCTTGTACCCATAAAGTTCTTTTCAATAATCTAGAAAACTTCAAAATCATTCAGTAAATTTAATTTTAAAATTTGGTGAAAGAGGTCAATAGATGAAGAAATCATTTCTTCTTTTTCATACACATGGCCCCCATCTCTGTCAGGTGTTAGAGTAGAAATTTATTGAAGCATTCAGAAAATAATTATGGCAACAAGGTTACATGTCACACTGTAGAGTCAGGCAATCTTTTTAAAGATCTCATGGGCACAAAAGGTATAAATGTAGGGGCAAGGGAACAAAATAATGAAATTTTGAGATTCAGGGGCAAGTTTTACGATGGGGCCGGTGCTGAACCTTTTCCCTAAAAAATCCCTGACAGAAGGAGTTGTCATGGATATTAAAAATACTCATTAACTCACTAACATTAATAAATAATGCTGAATAAATGCTGAAACTGATGTTTGACTATTGAAATAGTAGGTTAGGTTGATCTGATTTTAGCTTTGTCAACCTGGCCACTCTGTTATTACAGTAATGGCTCATTTAAATAATTTCAGGTCATTAAATGTAAATGTAAAAACAAAGTATTTGAAGATAATGCTGCTGTAAACTGTAGTTTAATAATACTGTAAGTGTAAACACGTTTCTCGCAGCGATAAATCAATATTTTAAATAATAATCATGTAAGAGTAGAACTTTACTGAGACTCTGAGTATAGCATTATAGGCCGTAGTCTGGCCATGTGTTCCTCAATATTTAAACTAGAAATTCAGCTAACTATATATTAACATGTATTTTAATAATAACATATTAATTTAAATATATAGCCTTCCAAATATATATTTCATAGAGCTAGTCAGTGTAACAATAATGGGAACCTGCTAAATAATTTGTAACAATAAAAAGAAAGATTACAA